TAAGTCATTTTTTAAGCCTATATCTTCTCTTAAAGTCCATGTAAGAGTGGAAAATGTTGGAGAAGGCATACAATTAAAGCTTTTAACTTATTTTTCTCTATTCCAAAAAAAGCTAAGGTTTTCTCCCTAGGGAAAAGAAAAACCTCAATCACTGTACACAAGACTAAATTAAAAAAAAAAAATGCAGTAGTCTAGTCACAACTCTTCATTCCTTGGAGTTTAATTTAATTTGAAAGTTAAAAATAGAGGGGCATACAACCGAGTTACTCGCTAACTCGGTTTAGATTGAATAGATAAAAATTCATAATTAATAAATTATATAATGAGTGCAGGTATAAAGTTGTATAAACATTAAACTGGTGCAGGAGAAGTATCAATTTCAAATTTATCCGCACAACAACGGTCTCACCCTACCTCATTATTTATATACTAACAAAAATTTTAGTTTTATTTTTAATTCTAACAAATTAATCAAAATTTTATTGACCAATGTTGAATATTGTTATTTATAATGTTAATTTATATTTATTATTGAGCAGATTATACTTAAATATTATTTTAAATTATAATTTATTTTGATTAAAATTTAACATCTTTTAATTAAGTTTAAATTATTTATCTATATATTTTATAAAAAAATTTCAATTAAAAGAACTAACATGTGAGATGGACAACAGATAAAATAAATTTGTCTATCAAATGAATAAGGATACTTACTTCAAGTATGAAGTAGATATGAGTTTATATTTTTCCAAAAAATGCAAATATGAGCTTTAACATACTTGTCCATTACTCACTCTATGCTCATCTTTGCCTAAAGGTACTTCAAAAATTTTATTCTTTAATGTTGCTACTTGTACCAAGATGGATAAAAATTTGTGATAGAAATCTTCACTATGGAAAGTGCTTACTTGCTAGAACTTTTTTCTAGTTGGTATGGACTCTTTGTGGCAGAGGCAAGACAAATTTGATGCAGCAATCCATAAGCAAAGAGCTTGAATGCATCATAAATTGGAGGAAATTGCACCATAAAGCTTCATC